CTTCTCTGGATTGTTGAAACCGAAGAGGATGTCGTTGAGGAGTCGCAGCTTCTCATGTACATCGTCAACTTATGTTTTGGGATTTAGGTGCGCCGTGATTGTTCTTGGGTTTGGCAAGCTTGGGCGCAGGTCTGGTCTCAGCGCAGATAGCGGTTCAGGAGCTCTACCCCAAGACCCCATACAGCTCAGGGCCAGCTCAGGGCCCCTAAAAGACCCTAATCCCGTCAGGATTGCAACGCAGTTCCCCGGCCGTTAGATCGGCGCAGCTGCCACGACGTCGCTGGCGTCCTGGCAGATACCCTGAAATTGAGGGTCGAATGGGTACCTTTTTGGATGGTATTGAGGCTCCCTCGGGTACTTGGTGATCTTGAGAGGGGTTGCCTGTGGCAAGTGGTGCCAAAGTGGGTTCGGCTGACAAGGCCTCCTAAGCTTAAGGCCTCTTAGGTTTACTAGGATGATGGTCCCTTGATAAGGAGTCCCCAGCTTAGGGGTTCTGGTGTTAAGGGTTTGGACTTGGGGTGAGGGTTTACTGATTGGTGTGTGTGTGTGTTCATGGTGGCCGACACTTAAACCGAGACCCCAAAACTAACCTAAACTTCAAACTACTTCAAACCCCAAGCCCCAACCCCTGAAACCCAAAACCATCTTTTCAGCCCTGTAGTTGAGATGGTGCTCAGGCTGCAGTTGGTCGACGTCCCCATGGTCTGCGTGCAGCTAAGCATCCACACCTCAGGGAGTTTAGGGTTTAGGGTTTACGGCTTCTTATGGTGGGCCTGGGGCCCAAGTAGCCATCATTGAGGTACATGGGGCCCTTCGCACATGCCAGAACTTCTCAGCGACTCATGCGAGCTTTCTACTCCCCAAGCGCAGAACCTACCGGGAGGGGCTCTCTGGAGTTCATGTTAAGGCACTTGCAACCAAAGCTACATACCCAATTTAGGGCCAATACAACGCTGCTTGTAACGACAGGGCCCCTCATTGTAAACCCTGAGCCCCAACGCCTACACGTCCAAGCCCGTTTTTCTCCCTAGAGCCCTAGCGCACGTAGGAGCGTTGCAGGAAAGAAGGGCGTGACCCTTCAAATCGAACCTCATTGACGCTCAACTTCCCCTAAACAAAACAGTTGACCAACCAAGCCTTGGCATTTCTGTGAACTCCACGCTCCACGAGGGTCATGCTGTTTCCTTTGGATCCCCAAATGTCACAGGCCTGCAGCCAGACCTGCGGCCAGGGCACCGCCACCCGCGCCGTTGTTTGCCCCAGCTGCCCGGCCAAGGTTGTGTTTTGTTGTCATCCGCTTGGGTTTCGAGTTCGGTGTAATTCACGCAAGACCCTGAGCTCCTGAAACGCTACTCCCCAATGCCAAACACTTTTGGCGTGCTGAAGCCGACTCATGATGGTCGACGAATGAGTGGAATGGCCCTTCTCTTTGTCTCTCTGTAGGCCAGGGGGTTCTCCTTGCTTTATATAGACTTTCTCCCAACCCGGGATAAGCAAAGGTGGAAATGAAGTGGACTGCGCTGGGCTGCCGCAGCCGCAGGTGGGGAGATGGTGCCTCACACCCGACCTCTATGTTTGAGCCCCAACGTTACAAAATATGAAGTACCCTTGAAGCCATACCAAGAACTGCCCTGAGTGTGTCGGCTGACAAGTCGATTTTGCATAGAGGCTTCATTTCCTGAGGGGAGCTTTCGGTCAAGAACATGTTCGAACAACATGTTTTTTGATTAATCGAGCTGGGGCTTATTGAATCATGATTGGGGGGCCCTTGCTCCACCTGAACAAGGTAGCCTCTTGGTATCTTGAAGATGTTCCTTATTGGGCTTAGGAGGACATTCTTTGAAAGCGCTTGCCTACCCTGCCTTCCACCTTCACTCTTAAGCCGAAGCTCTTAAAAACCCATCTAAAAATTCAGGAATCTAAGCCCTCAACCCTGAACCCTAAACCCTTAAATACAAGATCCTCAAGTTTCTTGTGTTCTCCCCCTTTGCAGTCCGAGCAGAGCTGCTCTGAGACCGTCGGCTGCTCCTGGGTGCTGGGCCAGTGGTCAAGCTGCCAGGGGCCTACTGTACTAGGTCAGGTCTCAAATGAAGGCGGTGGGATTTGGCATATTTCAAAATCTGCGAGGAGGAGGTACCCTTAGGGTCCCCTGATATGCCCCAAAAAACACATAAATGAGAAGAACCCCAGGCGTGCAGGGTTTACAGGGTCCAAGCCGGATTGTGGAGGGCGAGGGTTCTTTGGGCCTTTGGGACGTCTGCAAGCTCAGCTGCTGAATGTGCCAGGGAAGCAGCAATGCTGAACCCCAGGCTCCTGTTTATATTGTCATTTTCACAAGCAAATATGCGAAGCAGAAACAGCTCTGAAAGCTTGCTCCAGTGCATGCATACCCAACTCGAGTTCTCAGAATGTTGTGGTCTGTCAGGGCCTTATTCTTTCGACAAGCTCTGTGTCCATGAGGATTTAGATTTCAATGATTTCAAACATCTACATCTAAACCGGCCAAGCACCCAGACCTGGAAAGCAAACCCCCACCCCAGAACTGAAACTCCACATCCCGAAGTCTTGGCCTTCCACCGAGGCTCCAGCACTTGTGGCAACGGCACCCGCAGCCGTGAGGTGCGCTGCCCGTCGTCTCGCAGCGAAGAGGTGCCAGCAAGAGTGTTTTTGCTTTCTGGTTCGGAGTTCGGGTGGCTCAAACCCTACACGCTAAACCCTAAGCGATTCAAGGAAATGTCATGGTTTGCTTTGGGTGTGTAAGGCGTGAGGGTGTGTTGCAGGACGCGGCTTGAGGGTGTGTGGCGTGATGCATGGGTGCAATGAGTGTTATTGGGGGTCATGTCGGGTGCTGGCATCTTGGTTTGGAAGTCCTGCAGCTATTGCGTGGGAGGGTGGGACATCAAGACAGGACGTCGCGATCTGCGACACATCGCAGCACAGAAGACATAGCCGCATGTGCCCTTGCACGCTTCAAGCTTTCATGAGCCCGGCAAGAAAGATATTGGGCAAGAAAGATTGCCGGATGCTGGTATCCATAGCAACTTCATCCCAGGATCCAGACATTTTTCTTACACATTCATTGCAGCATCTGTTGCAGGCACCTGGTTCTTCAGTTCTGGTCGATCATAGGCAGAACCGGAAAAATGTCACACACAATCTCGATCCTGCAGCCCGCTTGCAGGACTGCGGCTCAAACCGGTGACGTGGCAGCATCTGATGGTTGGTATGCTGACCATGCGGTTCGCCCCTACTCGGCCCCACACTCCCGAACGAACGCGTCCCCGGCCTCCTCACCCTCAACAGGAGAAGAGCCGGCTTATGCAGATGATCAACCCTTAGAATGTCTTGCGCCTCGCCCCAGCAGGCCACCAAGCAGCGAGCTCTGCAGCTCCTCGGTCGGCTGCGGCTGGACAGTTGGCCACTCGAACTTATGATATTCAGTTTAATATAGCAATGTAGGGATTAGAATGAGAAGGCTTAGGGCATGCAATCTCGACACCCATCTGAGCCACCCAATATGGGTCGTACCAAATCTAACCATCTAGCAAACTTGGAGCTGGTCTGGTTGTTCGGTTAATCGCGGTCCCGCAAAACCATCTTCAGCAATTATCTGACAATGCTTTTCGCAACGTGGACATCATCTACATATTACACATCGCAAGCTGTAATTCGTTCTTAAGCAGCGAAAGCCATTCAGCGCCTAGCTTGCATTGTTGTGCTAGGGGACTGGGGCCCCTGCGACAGCAGCTGCGGCGAAGGGCGGCAAAGCCGCCATGTGGAATGCTGCCTGGATGAAGATCACGAGGGCTCATGCTTCAGTTCCGGCAGGCCAAAGCACCCTCAATCAAGGGATGACGGTTCAGGATGTATAAGGGTAGGTTACTGTCCGCATGTGTGTGCATGTCATGTCCTGGGTTGGAAGGCTCTTTAAGCTCAGATCTACCAGCCTGGGAAGTAGCCGAAATGGCCAGAGCTAAGGACTGCAACGTTACGCAACGTTCCCCGTACCTAAATCAGGCATGCTTGACCTCAATTTTGTCAATGGGCTTCAGATATTCCAAGTATGTACTTTATGAGTACATGGCTCCTGTGTGGATTGGAGAGTTCCGCTGCTTTCATGAATTGCCGTTGTGACCCCCACCTTTGCGACTCGAAAGTTCTGGAGATGTCCGGAGCTTTGCCGTTGCACGTTGGGTTGTGTAGCGCTGAAGGCTTGTCAACTTGATGCTTCGTGCCACAGGGGGATCCGTCTCTCAACGTCTCGGCATCTGAAGCCTGATTTCAACCCTAGACCCTTAATCCCAGACTCTCTAGACTTTACTTAAGACCTAAACTCCAAACCCGAAACGCCCTAAACGGATCACCGAGCCCACAGGCTCGGAGCCCGGCAGTTGCCCCAACGCTGGGCCCGTCACTGCCCAGGCCGCAGTGGTGGACATGTTTCTAGAGACTTCAAACCCTTGAGTTGGAATAGTCTTTTCAAGTAACTATATCGTAGCTATTGCAATATTCGTTTTTTGAGAAGTAGAGGCCGGATTCTACGGCGTGTTGTCGGTAAAATGCTTCATGAAAGGGTATTGGAGTCTCTGGTCTCGCAGCCACTCGCCTTCAACTCTGAATCTTGTCGAAGCCAACGAATGGTCACTACCGCTCTTGACTTGTGTTGCTTGTGTGTCTTGTATTCAGCTGTGGCAAATTTCAGGGTAGAAGCAGCTTGTGTCCCGAACCTTGAGTCCAGGGTTGAGGGTTTAGGGTCCAAGCTCTGGCGTCTTAAAGGCACGTGGCCAAACTGCAGCTTGCGGCAGGCGTGCTTTGCTTCTGTTGGCTGCCACTGGACGGCTCGGGAGCCCGGCCTTAGCACAGGCCCGTGTGTCAGCATCTGTTGAGTAATACAACACCCGACATCCTGCACTCTTTCTTGTTATGGTGTGGACCTCAAGTTCCCGATACTTCTGAAGTAAACAACAGTCCTGAGGTTGCGAGCTGGTCGAACTGCAGCGATGGCTGCGGTCGAGGCCTACGTCAGCGCCGCGTACTCTGCTCAGGCCCTGCCGATTGGGCATGGCGCTGTCGCTTGCGACATTGTCTGTCATTGACCTTAAAGGTTGTAGAGGAAATGGTTTCCAGCAACTTCACATTTGCACACCCAGCCTACGCAAGAATGTCAAAGTTGCACAAAGCCACGGCTACACAAAATCCCCAATTTTCCTTGTCGCCTCAACGCCACCCCACCAAGCACGATGGTATCGGGGTAGGTGGCCGCGACGACCTCTGCACCACTCTTCCGCGGCCAGCAGATGCTGAGGCACGCTTCACATCATTTACATCATGGTTGAGGGAGGCTACTATTTTGGGGAAGTCTGAGGGCCAGGTCAAAATCGGCAGCTCAGTATGGAGTGCCACTGTTAACCCTGCGAACATTGTCGACCCACTTGCAACCGCACTGTGCCGGAGGTTTGTGATGAAGCAGCCAGGCCGAGGGACGGAGCGAGGGTCTACCAGTGAGCGCGCGTTCAGACCATATCGGATGTCCCGAAGTTGTAGCTGCAAGCATTTTTGCATTCCCTCGCCCATGCATGTGTTAGCACTCTGGAAAACAAGTGCAGCCCTAAGCCTTCTAATCCGGGCTTGCACAGTTTCGGTCTTAATTAGTGCATGTACGGGATCTAAGCCCTACAAGCCCCGTACTGTAGGCCCATGTTAGCCCTAAACCCTATGATGGAGGCCCCAGCTTGGTGCCGGATGCGGCTGGCAAGTGGGTGCCTGGGGCGCCTGCGGCGCCGACTGCGCACCACGCACTCGCGAGGCACAGACTTAGAATCGTCCCCTTAACGGCCACGCGACCCGTTAGAGGGTTCAAGGTTGTGGGGTATTTTTTGGGCATGCTCCCGGTTCTCGGGTCGCCACCCCCTCCATGGGCCTTCATAAGCATCCAATCGTGTAGGGCTATGGCATAGGAAGGACTCTACGTAGAGGTGTGCGAGGTCCAGATTGGATCTGCATGGACTGGCTGAAGCGGCCCTTGCATGATCACTTTTTCAGAGGGGAAGGTGTCATCGGCTTCGATGGTTTGGGCACAGGTTTTGGGAGATCCAATGCTGCATCAGGTGTTCATCTCAGGGACCAGGCATGCAGGATGCAGCTTGTTCGGGCTTTCTGCAGCAACTTGTTGGCCCGGCATAAGGCAACAACGCTCTAATCCGGTCCCCATCTCTGCATCTGGATCCCATTCCCGAAGATACAACCAATGTCAAGTTCTGGTGGAAGCTTATGAAGCCGCATAGGAATCAACCCAGCGACCGAGCCATGTTCAACTCTAAAACACGGCAGGTTACTTGTGGCGGAAACGGCTCAGCATTGGGGGTCTGCTTCGGGCGCAAGCCGGCAGAGGCTGAAGCTTGCCAGGACGGTTGCAAAAACACCACAATCTACCCTGCTGCGCATCCCTCTGTGCAGATACCTATAGCATGAATATATATATATATATGTATATACATATATGTACATATATATATATATATATGTACAGGCAGTCGTTGGAGATCTGATCCCTTCTGTGCCAGAGTCAAACATGTTATGTGTTTAGGGTGTAGGGTATGTGGTTTCTGGTTTAGGGTCTATGGCCTGAAAACTTCCTTGTTGCATCAGGAGGAGTCGTGCTTGGCACCCATGGCAAGCAACCAAACTAGTGCAAGGCCAGGGGGCTAGAAGTTCTTGGTTTGCTGAAACTGCGAAGATTCCACGGACGATGGTTCAGGTTTTCGCTGCAGTTCCTCATGGATTCTGCAATGTCGCCAGAGATGTTGGGCAACGTTGTCGATGGAGCGAGGAAGGCCTCAACAGGTTTAGGGTTTAGGGTTTAGGGTTTAGGGTTTAGGGTTTAGGGTTTAGGGTTTATGGTTTAGGGTTTAGGGTTTAGGGTGGTTGATCCCGGCTACCAGAATTAGTGGGTGCTCGTCATTCGCAAGCTGACACGCGGCCGCTTGCCATGTTCATGGTGCGGTGACGTCTCTTCTGCAGCACCTTTTGGCTTGAATGCCTACAGGGTGTGCGTCGTTCAGCGAAGCCTTTGGCATCATCATGCTTCGCCGGCTGATCATCGACCTGAATTATGGCATGCTACTGTGCTGCACAGCCACACTTTGTTGATAGCTTTTGGTCCTGCTTTGACGGACCTTCTTGCCTGACACTAGCAATTTTGCTGATCTTGGCAAGAAACAAGCATCTGAATGCAGCAATCGGCTAGCAGCATTATTTGATTCACTCAGGCATTAGTGCTTTTTTAGGTTGTCACGCATATTTTGGAAAAAGTTTTTTTGTCGGTCGACCTTCGGTCGACCTGCAGGCATCGTGGAAGCGCATCGCACCTCGGCCGATGCGTAAGCAAACCTACGGCAGAATGCAAGCTGTGGCTTCGTGGAGCTTCCGTGTTTCGTGGGGCGCCTGCAGGCCGCATGGGTTAATCAGGTAAGATTTAGGGTTATATCAATATGCCGACATGGGCAGCTTGTGCAGGTCACAATGGCCCTCACAGGCTTCCTTCGTACAGTACATGGTATACATGTTGCTGGACTTTATATATATAGACTGCCTGTATAGGTGCGGTCTATGAGTTTGGACACAAGATCGAAGTAACTAATGAGTTTGGACACAAAACCGAAGTACCTACTCAAAACTCTGAGACACAAACAATTTTTGCTAGACGCTCCACTGGCTTGTGTTGGTGAGCCCTGCGAGGTGCTACTCTCTTGTCTGAGGCCCCTGACAGACATCCTATCCATGCAGCCGACCCCAGCCAACGTCGGCATTTCGGCAAGGCATCCAGAAAGCAAATCGCACCTGTTGAGCTCATGGTGGACGGAGATGTTGCACCGATTTCTCATATCCAGGAAGCCATCGCCAACCTCAGGTGCGAGCATCCCAGAATCCGCACGATGGTATTTGCCGCACCGCGGCGCATGGAAAATGCCAAGTGGAGGCAGTTTGTTGCATCCGAGCCGGATATGCATTTCAAGGCAGTTTCACGAGAGGGCGTGAGGGGCCAGCCAACCGACGAAGCGATGCTTTCGCAGGTTGAAAGTGTTCGTCAGAATCGACGCACGGGGTACATAGCAGTTCTGTCGTCTGATAGCAATCTCGTGAAGGAGATCATCAGGCTGGCTATGGAATGCAGCATGAGGGTGATTGTCTTCGGTCCAAGTTTTGCGGCTTATGCCGAAGAGCAGTTCATTGCAATGGGTGCTCAAGTGCGACACCTTCATCAGCGGAATATTCCTTTCAAGGTTCGGGGCGTGCTTCGCACAGACGGGACGGGTGAATACGAGCTTGTGGATTCCCCTCTGCTCTCTGCAGGGGAGAACCTGCAGCGAACAAAGTATCTGCTGGGCTTTCTCAAATCCCTGGGTTGGCTGTCGGAATCAGACACGGATCTCGAAGTACGCCTCCCGCAGACGCTTGTCAAGTTTTGGTTTCATCATTTCCGCACCGATCCTGTTAGCAGTCATGGATCAATGACGGTTTTCCCCATAGAGCAGCTCATCTGGACCATGCATGACATCGTCCGCACTGGTGGAAGCTCCTGGCAGCAACGGCAATCTGAGTATGCTTACTGCACTCCACTGGTCCGGGTGAGCAGGCTCAGCAAGGAAAACGAAGCAAAGTATGGTGGTATTCGGCAAAAGCGTCTCTTCCTGGGCGGTGGCCCAATAATTCTTGACGACTCAGATCAAGTTCCAGAGAAAATGTTGACAATTCTTGGGTACTTAGACCACTATAACACGGACGTGCGCGAAGCTGCGTTCGTTTTTGTCAATGTGAGTGACAACAAGTACAACCTGCGGCAGCTGGGAATGCTTTCCGGGAGTAGCTTTCAGATGTCGCAGCTGCGGAGCGCATTTTTGGCAGACTTAACTTGTCAGTGGCACCGCGCGCCCGTCGATACTTTTGTCCGCAAGCTGTTGGTCGAAAAAGGCTGCATGCGAAGCGAGCAGGCTGACAAGCGCAAGGTATGGAAGGCCATGCGAGCGTACGCAAGAAGAACCCGTTTGCCTGGACCGGAGCTACAGACTTACAATGGACTTGTGTGGCGCATCCACCGAGGCCTGTTTGCGGACAAGGACCCCAGTACAAGAAGCGTTGTTGAGGTTCATTCTGACATTGGCTCGTCATGAATGTACGAACAGATACCTTGATCTCTTGCGAGCAAATGATTGAGTGGAAAACAACCATTGGCATTTGCACATGTATGCCGAATGCGTTGTCTCCTGCAGCTCAATGTGGCTGGCTCTGTGTGACCAGCTGGTCGGCAGAAGCCTGCTATGTATGGTAGGATCATGATGAAGTGCTTGAAAGCATACATCAACTCCCGGACGTTCTTCCTTTGCAGTTAATGCAACGACACGACGCCTCTTGCGGTTGAAAATTTAGGTGTCGAGCCCCTCCTAGGCTTCTTGACGCTCTGGCGCTAGTCACTTGTGGTTTGTACATGCATAAGATGAGGCCGCCGGTCTCAAGAATTGTTTCGTCCATGCCACAGGTTTCTCAACACAAGTCATCAAATGACAATCTGTCCAAATCTACGTTGTGTGAGCAGCTTTAGACATACAATGTGCGTTCCTCAGCTTTTTTGCGTTCTGCAACTCGCGCTGCTGGCCCACGGCTTTACTCGTCCCTTTCCCTGCCTTGCCCGCACTAATCGCGACGCGGGTGCAGGGGCGCAGCGTGCACGCTTTTAGGATCCACAGCAAGCTCAGCCACGCATCTGCAGGAGCTATTTTCAGTGGGGGCCTTTTGTCGGGTATCCTTGCTTGAAGTGGAAGGCGGTGGCCGAGCTTCTGGGACTTCATGCAGATTTGGTGAAGGCCATAGAGATGATCGCTATGCCGTGCAAATTTCCTCATAGACGAGCGTAGACCTCAAGCGAAAGAGTTGCAGCAGACCTGTTGGAGCTAGTCACAAAAGGATTTCAGCTTTACTGGAGGAAAATCACCTTCGCCTCTTATGTGGAGTTTTTTTGCTAGCACGGTCTGTTGCACAGCGCTGGCATGTGGGCTTTCAGTGAAAACATTGTCTCGAGCTGCAACCCTATAACGAGTTAAGAGCCACAATGGGAGGTGCATGTGGTGTCTGGCTCAGCTGGACGGCGCATGAGTGTTCTGATGAAGATGGAGGCTGGGAAGTTAGCATCTCAAAGATGTGTTCGTGGAAACACAAGTTTAAGGGGCGAAACGAGAGACTTAGGAATTTACAGGATCGAAGTATTCTGCTGAGCAGCTTTCGCAGCAGCGGATCTGCTCTGCAATCTGTGAGCCAGTTGTAGTGCTTGCAGACAACACGGAGCGTAGTCTGTGATCTGTTAAGATGTAGAAGCGGCTACAGCCCTTATACAGGGTTTGGTGGGGGCTGCAGGTAGGGCTTAGGAACTCTGGGGTTCGGCTTGAAATTCAACGACTTCAGGATCAACTGCCAACGTCCGTTTCGGGTGTTTAAGAGTGCGGGAACGCGGAAATGTGACCAAAGGCAAGCTTTCCGGAACCTCCGGCTTCAGCATTGTTCAATATATGCCATTTGCGACAAGAGCTGTTCTTAGAGAGGTTTCTTTAGAGCCCACTACTCTTACGGAACCTACCTAAAGTCAATGTGGGCATATTCCTTACTCAAATTGCATGTGCCTTAATAGTGTATACACTTGGGCCATCCCGTGCCCAAAGTCACTACATAAGACGTGCGGTGAAAGCCCAACGAAGAACAACCTTGTTTAGGCGCATGGACCCTACCAATCCCTAAGCCCTAAACACCCTAAACCATCTAACGCCTAAGCCCTAAACCCCAAACTCGAAAGTTTGAAGCCCCAAACCTCGAACCCCAAGCCAACTCTACAGCCTGAGCCTGCGAGGTGGAGCTCCTAGCGGCGCCTCGAAGCTCGACGGCCCTTCTGGCTTCAGATGCTGGGCAGGACGGCACCAGAGCGGGCGAAGGTTTGGGGTTTAGGGCTTGGGGCTTAGGGGGGTTCATAAGGTCATAAGGTGTTATACAGCAGTATTTTTTATAAAGTCCTGAAGGGAGGGTGTGCAAACCTGGGCAAGTTCAGACATCAAGGGAGGGTTAGGGCATGTTAGCGCGAAGGTGACTCACGGTGGCTAAGGGTGCTGGAGATTTGGGGCTTGGGCTTGTCGGATCCAGAGCTCCCGAGTTTGGGAAAGCTTCAGAGCTTTACTGAAGCGAGGGCTGTTGTGACAGACTCGTCGACGTTTCAAGTTGATCAATTCCAAGATGCTGGTACTTAAACTGCACACCTGTGCCTTGACAGCCCTGAGTTTGCTACAAGCTAGAGCGCTGGCTCATGCCATTCGCATCATCAAAACTTCCATTTTGCCTGCTCATAGTTTGTTTGAAAGCCCCTTCGGAGTCTGTGTATTCAAGGCAACTTCCTGTCCCAGCATGAGGCGGATCGGCTAGCTTAACTAAAACATAAACCTCAAGCCCCGAACTCAAATCCCTCAGCATTCCTTAAGCCCTGCTATCCCTAGACCCTAATTTGAATCCTAGATGACCCGAAACTTTCAACGAGGAGCCTGTAAGCCAAACCCTGAGCCCTGACCGAAGCCGCCCGATTTGCTTGATGAAACAGGATCTCCTATCCACAGAGCTGATGGAGGAATGGGATTCCCTCGGAGTTCCCCTGGACAACTTCAGTGCGCCACAGCTAACATCCTGGACACAAACGCTCCAGAGATATTTTTCAATGCTAAGGCGTGTAGGGTGTCACTCAGAACATGGGCATGTCAGCGCTCGATAGTTCGGTGTGCTTGCATGTTCTCATGGTTCGCGGCAACATGACATGCCAGAGAATTCATTTGCGATTGTTTTGAAGGCAGGGTTTCACGGTGCAGCATTGGCCAAGCCTTTAAGCCTGTAATTGCATCGTTGCGCATTCAGCTTCAGGCCTCAATCAACCTTGGCATCCAAATCCATAGCCTTGAGCTGTTTCGGCCTGGTGGGTGTATACGATTGATGTCGAGACAAGGTGCTCATCGGCCCCGTAGAGGAGCTCACCAGCACCACCACTTCCTCAGAGATGCACCTCGGCCACAACAATCCAAGGTCCCGCCCCTTCACGTCCGTTCACAGCCCAAGCCCTCAGCCCGATCAGCTGCACAGACTCGGATCAGGATCAGTCTTGGACCGGATCCTGAAAAACTTCATTGTGCCATATCCAGGACCCTAATGCTATTACCTCGATCCCGAAGTGGCAACCTTCGAGTTTCACGAGCCCATATGCGACACGCCAAAGCCCGCAAAAGGCATACTCCGCTGCATATCGGAGACGCTTCAGCAAACGACTCCGACATCAACGCCGCAATAGCCGCAGCTCGGCCCTGGAGCGAAAGGATTAACGGTGTGGGGTTTAGGGTTTCGAGGGGGAGTTGGGAATGGGGGTAATTGTCATGGGATTTTGTTCACAAATAAGAGAGCTGCTTTGTATATAAGGACCCATGTGCTGATACCTGGCATGTCCACACCACAGATGTTCTAAATTTGTTCTGTGTTCAGTTTTGGTGCCGCCCTCAGAAGTCGACGTGGCTTGGTGCACGAAAGAGCAGGCACACAGTGTTAACAGGCAGGAGCTGGGCCAGTCGTAGCATTTCAGCAAGCCGCATCCTGTAATTCTCATGGTTTCAGTAAATTATGGAAACAGGTCGTTGCTTCGAGCATCGCGATGTCCATGGTCTGCGTCGCGGCAGCGTGACCGCACAGAAGCTGGAGATGTGTAAGAGTCCCACACTTCGAATTACAGCAGGTGCCGACAAAGTACCCGTTGTTGCATGTCTTGCCCTCAACCCGACAAACTGGAGCCTCTTACCCACTTGTCCCCAACAACCAGACATCTTCACGGCGAATCCCGGGGCCGCACATGTAGCTGCGATGTAGTCCCTTCTGGATCAGTCTGCTCTGTTTTTCAGGGAGGGAATAGGTAGTCTACTAATGCACTCTGTGAGTACATGGATCCTTTGGGTACAGTCTCCAAAGTAGAAGAGCCGGCATGCTGCCAGAAGTCACGACACTTTTGTCTCGTCAACGCGCCAACAGGGTCCATGTAGGTGTACCTCAACAGGAAAAGTACCTGCCTTGAAGCCGAAGTAGGCCCGATTCAGGCACATGAACCCTTAGGCCTGAGGCAAGACAGGACTGACATAGAACCGGTATCGATTTCTGCCAGGTCTGTTGTTGGATATGGCTGCTTGGCTGCAGTAGCTGACCCACAGGCTCAGTACCTGAAGCAGCTGTAGCACATGGATTCAAGCAAGGGCTCCCTCCAAAGGCAATAAACAACAAGTCCACACTGAGTCCACACAGTCCCTGAGACGTTCTAATAACTTCAACGCCCCCAAGCCTATGATTCCAAAATCCTAAGCCCTCAAGGAGGAGAGTTTTTCGCGCCTTTGTCCTTGAAAGCTGAAGGCGCCAAAGTCGCGCAATGCACCGGACGCACCCCGATGAGGCCAGGATGTACTGCGTTCGGGATTTGTGCTCCTGTTTACTACTTATCGTAAAGTCCATGCTGATACAGAGTGCATCCTTTGACCTTGAAAAACCTTCCTATGTAGTGACACTGAGGCCGCAACAAATGCTATTGACGTATGAACAGGGTTCAGGACTTTGTGTGCAGGGTCCATGGTCGGGATGTCCTCCTATCGATGCTGTCCAAAGCTTGGCTCGACTCTGCCGGGCTGGGTCCACTCGACATGTGATCCATGAAGATGCGAAATGCCACGAACAGTGCTTATCAAGGACACTAAACTCTTAAGCCCTATAAAGACCAAACCAAGGCGAGCCAAGCCACGCCCTGTTTGCTGACGAAATGCTCTTTTTTGTACTGTGAGGACCCTTCTGTGAGGACAAGCCGCACCAAACGCCGAATTCAAATCTGCCATAGGGCCAGCACATCCACACTTAAGCATTTGTTGAAGCTAGGATCTGGTTCAGCCACACTTTGGCCCCAGGATGACAAGCCGCCCGGCACAAAACCCTCGCCCAGCCTGAAATTTCAAGAGTACGAGGTGGCCTGTGTACCCGACGAATCCCAAACTGGCCCTCCCGCTTGCAGCCTCCCCGTGCAAAAATCTTGGTGCTGAGAGGCCTTGCACTTGCCAAAGACGCCTGTGCCGAA